CATCGCAAACTGCACATCTTTGGTTCAAATCCAGTGGGTATCACCCTACCCAAAATATTGAGTAGGCAATGCCGAACCAAAATAGAAACTAGTTCTGCCAAATATGATTAGCTCCTTAAATATTGCTACATATCAGTGGAAGCTTAAACAACTTATCCAAAATATGTGGATAAGCGCCGTATGATATAAAAACTCAAAGATCTTGTTTATAAAAGAATTTTAAGAATAAGCAGTGTAAGTGTAACTATAATTTATATGTTGGAAGCCCAATGAAACATTGACAACAGAGAAGCAGAAAATTTAGTCGTTACTGGAATACGGATCAAATAGATACAAAGTTGGGCAACCATAATTCCAATGACAGATGTGACAACAGAGAAACCTAGTAAACAACAGCTGGTCGTTGAACCTGGTTACAGTCACGTTGCAGACAATTCAAGCCTGAATACCATAATGGTTGATTCTGATTGTCACTAAGAAATTGCCCTCAGTCACATACACCCTAACATTTTGCAACAGCATGACAAATCATGGTCAATATTTATCAGGAATAGAAAGAACGCTTCCTGGCCATCCCTCGTCAATCAACTGAAATTCGATAGATGTGATGGTTTTTTATAAATAGCCTTGTTCAAAGTTAAAGGTGTATAATGGATGTATATTAACAAATTTAAATGTTGCTTGAAATCAAGAGAGGAAGGTTGAGAACGTTGTACTTGATTGTATCTAGGACGAGGCATTATATCTGTGGTTGAGTGGTTACAAATGTCACAAGCTGGATGGATGGTTATGGGATCAAAACTGCGACCCGAAGATGCCTTTCTTTGATTTATAAATGAGAGCTTGCAAAATAGTGTTTAATACAAAACATGACTTTTTATGTGCAAGTTCATTTTTCTAACTTTGCATGGAAGTTCAGTTTGGAAAATAAATATTGATTTGGTTTAATTTAAGGTACTCCCGTAGTATGTGAACCAAGATGGCGGACATCGGAACACAGTATATGTATCAGGTTGAGGTTGGGCCATACTTTCAGGTACAAATACTACAGGAGTCACTTGGCTGGTCCCCGAACTCGTAATCGAAATAAAACAAGAAAAATTGGAATAAAACTATGGCCTAACCTTAACCTGGTACACATACTATGTTCGGGTGTCCGCCATCTTGTTGCACATATTACAGAGCAGCGCCCATTTTTATTTTTGCAATTCACATTTTAAATCTCGAATTTTGTTGGAACTAAATTTTTAATACATCTGTACTTGATATTACTTAGTTGAGGCCCCAGTCAATCCTTATAACAATTGTGCATATTTTAAAATATTTAATCAGAAAACTTACTTATCTGGACCTCCATGTTTGTTAGTCTTATGAGGAATTTCATCATTCCATATTATCTCTCTTCTGCTGCTTCCAATTATCTGAATCTTGAAGAGCAATCCTGCATTGAATGCTTCCTTAAGCAAGCTTGTTGTGGAATCGTACAAGTGAGGCACATATTCAGTGAATTCCTTTGCTTCATATGAAACACCCTGCAAAAATAAACGCAATAAGTTATTCAACTTCTATCTCTGATAATTTATTAAAACTGATATAACCCAGGTGCTCCAGAAGTATGCGCACCAAGATGTCACACAACCTGAATCCTAACCGATACACACATACTATGTTCAGGTTGTGCGCCATCTTGAAGGTCCAAAAGCCTTAAACTAAAATTTCTGCAACTCAGAATCGATTCCTCAGAAGCAGACAGTTGCAACAGCATTTTTTTGGTGATTTTAGTTGGGATGTTTTCAAATACTCGCTCTGAACAAGGCACAAAACAAGCAGGCACTGATACCTTAATTGAACGATTGGAATCTTTCTCACTAAACATTGACTATCAAAACATTTGATTTCTAGGTCAGGAGGAGGGCACACATTTGAACCAAAGATGTTTTACATGTGCAAACAAGTAAAATATCCTCAGGAAACATATAATCAGTGGCACCTTGTTCAGAGTTGCCTTCACATAACATTGAAATTTTTTTTAATTTTTCAAAAAAGAAATGAAACATAATATATCTATGATTGGAAGCAGAGTTAGAATATGATGACACTAACATTTTACTGATACACAAAAAATCCACTGATATGTAAGAGGTTATATATAAAAAAAAAACAAAGGACCAACATTTTTCCAAGCAGAGCTTTGCTTGCCAATTTATACACATCGTTGGTGAGATCGTGATCTGGGATTTGAAGATTAATGTGAAGAGAAGTAGCCAAACTACGATGGCAGCACAGGTTAAAAATAGTATATAATGAAATAGGTAGGAGTGTATGATAAATTAGGTGACAATGCAACCAGACAGATTTCAGTTCTACAATAAATAGTAGTGCCTTGCGTATTAGTGGCTGCTCATACATAGCCTTGTTTGAAATAAAAGACATGACAAACGTTTCATAGAAAAAATTCATATGGTAAGTTTGTCATTTTAGGCGTTTGGAATCTTATAGTCGGACAAAACTATCAGACTTAAGATAGATTATGATGATTATTGCCAAAATGAAATACCTAATTTACTATTTCATATAAATTCTTAAATAATATTTTTTTCCAATATTAAATATATTTTAAATTGGGCCATGTCCAACAAGAGTCTGTAAAAACCACTGTACAATTACATATGTGGAAATTTAATTCAGTAATGCAAAATAACTGATTTAACACAGCTTGGATTGATTTTTGCAATTTGCAATGTGAGATTTTAAAGAAAGTCATACGATTTTCTTCAATAATCAAATGCTTTAAAAGACAAATTTTGAAATGAAAACTTCAAATCGAGAATTTGCTCTATGTAATATAAATAATTGTGAATATATTTATTTATTTTGGACATCAGCACTGGTAGAGGTAAATTCTGCAAGGGGTCATTAATAAACCAACATAAAAAAATGCTTTCTGGAAACATCGGAAAAATCTCTAGAACATCTAAGCACTGAGGTGTTATGATGGCCTTGTGGTTATAGCATTGGACTTAGCTATGTTGGATGATAAATTGAAGATCTCAAGTTCAAGTTCCATGCCCAATGCCTTATCCAGGATGTAATAACTTGAGTGAGCAATTCCAAAACAAAAAAATTACATTCCATCCAAAAATAATAGCTTATTATGCAATAGCCCTGTTTGAAGTGAACAATGTAATAAAAAAAAAGTGTAATTAGAATTCAGTTGCTATTTGGGGGCAGAAAAATTGTATTTGGAAGATTTAATATTAAACATGGAATCAATGTAAATTATTACAACAAAAATCCAATTTAATACTCAGCCAACTGAATTCATTACATGACTCACATTCAGACTTCCAGCAGGGAATGCGTAGGTGATTACATGAGTGCCGCATGATCCATATCCTGGCAGTGATTCAGGCCACCATTCCACTGAAATTCCTCCATCATGTGGTTGTTGGTTGATTAGACCAGATGAAGTAGCTTGACTTGAAGACTGAGATTCTGTAAATTGAAAATTATTTTAGTGAAAGATGATCACAAGACATGATTCTGATTGTGCTTAGAATGAAATGATAGGGCATTTTGTAATATTATATATATAAGCCCTCATGAAATCTTATAAGCCCCCACGGCAGTGCTAGGCTCAAATCGTGTATTATATTTTTACTAATGCTTTTGCATATGAGTGATATTGAATATTTTAAAAGAATCTACTATTATCTGTAAGTAACGACATTGCCTACCCAATCTGTTACACCCTGGGTGAGGTGTGGGATTTGAACCAGGGAGGTGTAATCTGAAATGGCAACAGCTAAGCCCAATGCTTCAACCACTGCGTCATCACCAACTGGATATTGGTTCGTTTGATTTTAATCTCGTTACTTTTAAATCATAAGTACCAGAAACTCGAGTGGAGTTGAGGTGAACAATATTCTAATTATGTTAAATATCAAACCAGTATTTATATTGTCTATGGATTAACACTAATTTCAATTAGCCACATATATTCTGAATTGGAATAAATTCTAAAAAAATTAATAAGAATGACATATTTTATTTTTTTGAGTTGTCTTGAAAATAACATTTTATTCAAAAACACCAATTTAATATAGCAGAACTTCCTAAATATCTCTTCATTGAAGCGTTTTTGTGGGAGAAGTGGAGTCGGAGTACTTGTATAAAATATCATATTATAAAGAAGATTTTTGCCATTAATGCAAAAGCTTTATCTCCCATGTCTGACCACATAACTTATAAGTTATAATTTTAGCAAATATTGCTATGTAATGAAAAATTGAGTTATAAAATTACTCGCACACAGCTATTTGATTAAGTTTATACTCGCATGCAAATTATTTGTCAACTTTATAATTTTTCCATTCAAAAACGGAAAAATGGCGATTTCGTAGTCTGCAGCTTTTTACAAAAAAGAGATTCAGTAGTGAACACTGCTCATCAGAATAATGTCATACTAACTGAAGTATGCCTATGGGACCATGTCGAGCCATGAATATAACATTTGTGCTTCTGTAAATAATTGAAGTCATGTCTTTTGAAGGCCCCTGAACATTTGCAAGATTTTGGAATTAAGGCTTGACAATTTTTTGGAGTACAAGATTGAAATTTGGAATTGGGTGCCATTCCCCTTATCTAGAAAGGTCCTTCATGTATACAACAACGTTCGTACCAGTAGAATTGTAAAAGTTTTATTTTTTTAATGACATCAGCGTGAAACCAATTATATTAATCCTACAGTATATCTTACAGCCTTGTTATGCACAGGTGAAAGATCCATGACTGGTAATGCTGCTAAAAATTTGCCAAAAACACCATTCAAATCTTAAGGTCATGCAGACTTGCAAATTTTGATATTTGTATGATTTCCTCGATTATAACAAATGACAACAGCGAGAAACTAGTTTTATGTTTGTTCAAGTTTTAGGAGCTACTTATTTATAGCCTTGTACAAAAGTAGGAGACGAGATATATTGTACAAGAAACCCAACCTGTAGTTTTAGATCTTGCTCCTGATGATGAATTCCCCTGCTTATGCTGATGCTTCGGTCTTGCAGAACGTGAAGTTGCAGGCTGCTCATCCAGGCTTCGGCTTTCTAAATGTTTAATAATGTTTAGGCCTCTAATATATATGAATTTTTTTTTTATCCAAGAAACAAAAAATTGTATAGTTAAACTGAATGAGCCTAAAATTATGACTACCGGTAATTATATTAATTTTACAGGTCTCCAATTCATAATTTGAATACTGCTTGAAATGCTGTGTACATAAAATTTATATTCATAGAGGCAAAAAAATGACAACGGTCACTTATAATCATGATGAATGCCAAATCGGTATCAATTTTGAAGAGGGAAGACTGAAATATTACATGATATTCACCGTTTTGTTAATAGTGTTTGCACATTTTGTGTTATAATAGTACATGTATATGTTTAAAATTGCAAACTGTGCGTGACACTTTGGGGATCGAACAAATGAAGGAAACTTGATAATTTATGCATAGTGAAAAGATCAGAGAGATTGGGAATATACAATAGCAGGAATAGATTAAAAATAATTTGGAACCGCACTGGCCTAAGCCTATAACCAGTTCGGCCTATATCAGGTAAGACAAGTATTACATAATTATTATTTATTTTATTCATTTGGGCAAAATTTAAAAAAATATTATATTTTTGTGTCATCAGGTTTTTCATAACCATATTTTTACACCATTCGAAGCAGAACATTAAATAAATTCTGGCAAATTGAGAATCGGATGAGTTTTTCTGATGTACGATAAATATCCGATAAATTCTCATTTCCTTGATTAGACATTATCATGAGTATATGGATTAACACTAATTTTAATTAGCCTACATATATTCTGATTTAGAATAAATTCTAAAAAAATTAATAATAACAAATTTCATTTTTTTGAGTTGTCTAAAAAATAACATTTTATTAAAAAACATCAAATTATTATTGCAGAATTTCTTAATTACGGTATGTCTTCATTGAATGGCACTGATTTTATTTTCAATAAATTCTATGGAAACCCCATAGAAATCATTGAAAATAAATTGGGGGGGGGGGGGGGGGGTTACCCCCAACCTTCCGAATTTTTTTGATAACTGAAAAAGTCGCCGATAACGCGTGCAATTGCCTTCTGCTAAAATCGCAGATTGTTTTCATCAACATGGCACGTTATTTAGGCCGTAAACGCCCTTTACATTGGTGTCTATACTCTCTAAATCACAAATTTGTGCCACGGTATCAATGATAATTATTTTATTTTTGTACTCTCACGGAATAGTGAAAACTGAAAAAGTCGCCGATAACGTGTGCAATTGCCTACTGCTAAAATCGCCGATTGCTTTCATCAGCCTGTTATTTAGTCTGTAAACGCCTTTACGTTGGTGTTTATTCTCTCTAAATCACAAATTTGTGCCACGATTGGCACGATATACATGTTAATTATTTTTCTTTGTACTTGCACGGAACTGTGAATTCAGCGAAAGTTATTATAAGTTCATCGGCGGTGAGGTTCTAAAGAAAATTGACGGAGTGAATCCATGACCTTGACCGAAACAAGGTTGTAATCACGTTGCGCAAAAGAAAAATCATTTTTTGTTGAAAAAGTCGGCTCTTTTAACAAGTGGCGCAATTGGGCGTCTGATCGGCCTGGTTTTCGAGGCGGTGAATTTGAATTTTTGATTTACTGGTATACTTTATATCTATTTTCATTGTATCAAGTAAAATTGTACTAAACATGATTTTATATCAGATATCGAGTTTTTACTAAGGGCGATAACGAGGTCGCAAGATTGCAAAAATACGTATCAAAATTAAATACATCAGGAGGCTTATCTCATATTTTTATATCCACAGATCGCCGTGGTATTTTACTGCAGTGATGTTTTTATTTTGACGTAAGAAGTTGCAACCGCGAGTTACGTTGGACACAATTAAATTAATATATAAGGACATTTTAGAATCTCGTAGTTGTCATGAATCGAATATTATACGGGACAGAAGATGAAAAGGCGGCTCTATGAACGATCGTGTGGTCGTGGTGACTGTTACATACGGGTACGGCACTGGAAATTTCCGATTTTAAAAATCCTGGCTGTGCGCCTGGTCGCACATATCCTAAAATATTTTACATTTCCTTTTTTATCAAATACGAAGGCAGCCGTGTGCGGTGCGTCTATAAATTATCTGGCATCCCATCAGCCGGTTTGTTTCCGTGGGTATGTACAATGTGTTGCTAGCGGACTTCAACGAGAAGACGATGGAAATGAATAAAAAGTTTTGAATTTCCTGTGTGTGCTCACTTACAGACATTACGTTCTCTCTCAGTGGTCATCTCCTCCGGCCGCTGTTCTCCTACCCGCTGAGGTTTCGCTTAGCTTAGTCTAGTTCAGGGGTGCAGCCTTTGGGGTCTGCGGGTCGAAACCTCCCCAATATGGGATGTGTAAAAACGACGACTAATAGGCGCGACTTGCCACGCGCCGAATAAGCTCACAAAATTTTATGGCTCCGGATGCCCGTCAAGTAGAAGCGACGTGATTGTGATGATGTGACCGAATAGGGCGATTTATGTACCTTTCCCCTGACCCCTGAATTTCTTCCCATTACTTTACCATTGCAAAATTTTCGGTGCTCATTTAAAGAGTGGTTTGCGAGTTGGCGCCTGTAAAATGGAGTATTTTTGTTTCAACCATTATTCTGATACATAGGCATTCAACAATCTGTTTTTTAAAAAGTACCGGTGAATGATTTTAGCCTAGTCTATTGCAGCTATTTCTACACTAATTTTTTATTACTGCAATTAAACTGAAACTTCTAAGAAGACAAATTGATCATTGAATTATTTAATTTATATTTAAATATCCGAACAGACCTGAAAATTAACGAATAGATTTCAAAAACGCGAAACAGGGTAATATTTACGACGACGCCTGAAAATCAGTCTTGAGCGAGAAAAGTGTCTGAGCGGATGCGAAACTACGTCACTCTTTGCATCTTGCTGATTGGCCAATGTCCCGAAGTAAACAAGGAAGTCGATGCTCGGGGAAACATCCATTCAGACCGCAATTTCCATTTGATGCCCTTATTCCTGGCAAATCCTGACATATTCAGTTTCGATTTCTAGAAACATTCCGTATCACACATAGCAATTTTCAGAACATCAGTTCTCTTAGAAACTCGCGTTTTGCGGCCCCCGGCCAGACCACCTGTTGTTGTCAAACTTGGCAATTACAAATTTTGGCGCTCCGAAAGTATTCGCACCAAGATGACGCACAACCTGAACCCTAACCTGGCACACATACTATTTCAGGTTGTGCGACATTTAGTACACACCTAAATTTGAGAACCCCCCCTTTGAACATTCCTGGCTACGCCCCTGGTCTAGTTGGTCAACGCCAACTTTTGTGGTTTTTATTCAGTATTTCTCTTTCTTCTTTCCGGTTGTACCTTTTTTATTTATTATGCTATAACTTAATTCTAACATTTATTTGTTACGGGTTCAACCATTATTATGATTCATATTAATATTATATTATGAGTTTTGTAGGGGCTTATGACGAATTAGGGCATTTACAGGTAAAATGTGTCCCCATTTATGGAATTTTCGACCTACGAAGGGACTTCCGCGACAAATTAATTTTGTAGGTTGAGTTTCTACTGTAGTTGCAAGCACAAAAAATTTCCTATTGTTTTGATCTACAGCATTACAGTTGTCTTACAGCAATTTCTAAAAAAAAATGCTATTAAAAACTTAGTGTCACACCGACTTTAACGAATTCAGTGAAAAACACGTTTTTATAACATTGTGTTTTTGCAACAGGATTTTGCTAGCTGGTCCCACCAATATGACAGTGGAAATCAGATACCCGTATAGGCTTTTGCAACGCAAAGAGATTGGAATTGCTCGCACATACAAGATTAACTGAATTAAAAACTAGTTTCACGGGTACACCATTCAAAATTGCCACTTCACCGTGGGACGCACAATTTTTCTTTGTGGGCTGCAGTTTGCATGCCCTTTTAAACCAATCAAAATGCATGGACAAAATATCACTCACCAGGATAATTTTTGCACCAACTCAAGAATGCTTACCTTGATAACAAATATAACATCTGGGATTCTGTGGCTAATAGAAGTCACAATCTTTGAAGACATCCTTACCAAGCAATGATTGTATTGGTTGACATTTGGATTTTAAATTTAAAAATTGGAATATTATTTGATAGAATTAGCCTGAAAATGGCGGTCAGGCTGTTTTAGGTAGTATGGCCAAGAACCACCATTCGAATAATTCATTGCCATGCGATATGCAAATTTCGGTATTTGTATAAACGCATACATAGGATATTGGATCCCCATATGAAAAATTACTATGCAACGCTTGAAAAATCCAAGGCCACAATATAAGTCAGCTCAAGTGTTGGAGTTTTGCAGAATAAGAAGAGTTTCTAGAATATCAGCTTGGATTGTCTAGTTGTCAGTCTGCGAAATTATTTAGAATCATCAATTTGCCATACTTGATTGGGTGCAAATTGCATATTGATAAAACAAAAAACACCTCGTCACCTTTTATCTTTCGTTTCAATTCTTTATTTTCTTTCTCAGCTTGTTTTATTTTCTTTTCATATTCTTGTTTCATCTGTTGAGATTCTTGTGACTGTTGACGCATCATCATCACTAACAGTTGTCTGCTTCGTTCCAATTCTTGCTTTTCTTTCTCTGCTTCATCATTCTGTCGTTTTAGTTCTTCCACTGTCTGAGGTTGCTTGAAGCCTAATAAATACATAAGCAATACAATTAAGTGAATGGGTACATATTGGAATTCTGAAATTACAATACAAAGCCAAAAAACGTTTTTATCTCAATCAGTTTTGTAATTCCAAGGTTAAAAAGGTTTTACATGACTGGTACAAATATCTTCAATCGTTATCAAGTTAAAACACAACCCAAGCAAGGCCAGCATGCCTTTCAAAAACCCATAAACGACTACTAGTATAAGGATGAGCTATGGACCATTGTATGAAAATTCAATTTTATAATTCAATCAGTTCCTACCTCTGAAAATTCAAATGGATAACTGAGACCTTATAATGAAAAAATTCTTTTTTCGATTTGTTATAGCACTATTCAATACAGCAAATACAGAAGACTTACATAAATTAGGAAATGGGCAAACCAGTTTCCCACCAAAGTATTTATGCTGTTGGATTTGATCCAAAGTAGGTCGCTCTTTTGGAATTCGATGAAGCATCCAGCCGACTAAATTCCTCATCTCATCTCCAAGTTTGCTCAGGTCACATCCTTGATTTTTCTTTATCAAGTAACTCCATCCAACAGGGTTATCACCAAATGGGTGACTCCCATCAGTCTCAATGAAATGTATCACGAGTGCCATTGAGAATACGTCAGCTTGTTTGGATATGACATTGTCATTGTATGTCTCTGGGGCCCGCCATCCATCTGTGCCAATGCCCAAAGCGCTCGCTTTGGTGACAGAATGACCGGGTTTCATTTCTTTGCTTAATCCAAAATCTATCACTTTCAATTGCGTTCCATCTTTTGATATCAAGATATTATCTGGTTTTAAATCGCGATGTATGACATTATTACTATGGATGTGGGCAATGCCATTTACAAGTTGTCGGATGAGTATCTGCTTGATTCTTTTGGTTCGTTTTGAACCTTTTATGAAGTTAGTCAAATTGTCGGGGCCACATAGTTCCATGGCAATGAAAATATGCTTGACTGGGCCAAGGTGATAAATGCCAGAATCTCTAATGTTAGCAATGTTCTTGTTATAGCTGATTTTGACCAGAATTCTTGCTTCCCTCTCATTTTCCTCGCTGTACTTCAAGGATTTCACAGCAATATCACATTGACAAGACTTTCCATAAATCTTCACACCCTTATAAACATTTCCAAGCTTGGAAATGGACTTGTAATGAAGCATGTAGAGTGAATCAGTCAAACGAATGGAACCTGGAATATAAAACACTTCTTGAGACATTGCACCATAACCAATAGCATGGTAATTACATTTTTTTCAACGATTCAAGCAATTTAAATAACTAAGTTTTCGGTTCAAATCCCATGTTCACCACCTGAACAAGGAAGTAATAACTAGAGCAGGCAATGGAGAACATGTAAGATACCGGTCCTTCCAAAGCAGTAGCTCCTTCACATCAGTGGCTACTTATACAAGGCTTTGTTCAGAGTGTGAACATCTCATAAAAAATCATGACTTCGTTATACAATAGGTCTGCAAATATATATATAAATGCTCATTCAGAAAATAATTCATACAACAGCAATCAATGTTCAATTTCACACTTGCCACAGCCCACAGTCTTAGTCTTTTATTAAATATCATGTATCATCATTTTATATTAAATTTCTCACAGTAAGTAACTTAATTGCTTAAAGTTCCACGACAATCAGTACATAATTGCATGTTGCACCACATAGTATTCTTACCACATAAACAATTGTTTGCACGAGAATACTAAACCTGTGTTTAGGTTGAGCATTGTGAAATGCCTCAAAAATAAATGTATCTAACGACCTGTATCATTGGGCTGGGCGTTGCCACGAAAATAAATCTTCCAGAAGATTTAGAATATTAACTTGTAATAGAGTACAAACCTGGAATTGGGTTATTTTCATTTGAACTTGTAGAAGGAAGTATCTTCCTCAGATGAGGAATCATCAGGTCTTTTCTTTTTATCGCCCTTTTGGACTGAGATGTCGGAACTTTTAGAAAAGTAGAAGTCTGTTTTTATTTTATCCCCTGCAAATTAAAAAGAAAATACAATAAGACACGAATCTCCCAGCAGCTGAGCAGAGAAGGTCATTTAAGATATATAAAATGATTTACTGACCTTGGTTTTGATTAAAAACCACGGTCTTAGCTATCACAGGTCCATGCTTTCGGATTCTTTCATCAGGTAATCCAGACCTCGAGCAAGATTTTGATCTAAAGCTTGACTTGTGCCAGGTAAACTTAGTGCTTGTGAAGCATTTTGAGATGTTGTGGGATCTTCTCTATCATGAGAAGTTGAAGGTTGGTCTGGTGATTCTGAATCAGAGTCATCTAATTCAATTATATTCGGCGATCTATCCATTTTATTCAGAATTCTTCTTGTTCTAAAACTGACTTAGAATGAACTAAGAACAACAGCTATAAAAACAATATTATCGATTCCGTATATTTGTTAAATCATTCTGTGATTCGAATCTATACCTGTTTCCCCGAAAATAAGACAGTGTCTTATTTCAATTTTTTTTTCGAAAAATAATACTAGGGCTTATTTTCGGGGGATATCTTATAATTTTGTATATCAAAAATAAAATTAGAAAGTACAGAATTAGGAGATTTTCAAATATAAAAACCGATATCCATTTACTGTTTACTCAAATGACACGTTTTCCTCTAGCATACGTTTTAGATTAATCATTTAAAACGTATGGGAGAGATTTCTTGCTATCGAACAGGTAAAAAAAATTGCCATATTGACTAGGTCTCATTTTAAGGGGAGGGGTTATATTGAAATCATTCCCAAAATTCAGGCTAGGTCTTATTTTCGTTGTGGGTCTTATTTTCGGGGAAACACGGTAGTATACAGGAGCGGTACCGGTAACAACTTCTGACAATTTTATCCGTTAGGATAGAATCAAGTTTCATATTTATCCCGGGAAGAGGGAAGCCAATAAAATAGCTAAAATATTACGACGAATTTCGACCTCTCGTCCGATTACCGTACGACTCAAAGTCGGATATGGGATTAGTTATTCAGTTATTAGTTTCAGATGCATGTGGTTACCGCCATATTTTAACCAAATTTTCCTGAGTATTGCAACCAGGATTTACCGGGTACCGGTACCGGTACCGGTACAAGATTAATCGAAGATAAATTATAAATAATACCAAAACGATCCATGTGTGTTATCACGTGTCCGATAATAAACACATGTAATTACAATGCCCCAACTTATATATTGCTCACAGGCTCAAGTACTGTAATAATCTAACTAAGACGAAAAGTCTTGAAGTCAGAACCGAAAGCAGCCATAACGATCGACTTATCTTTTCCAGATCCGATGCTGGTGGTGTTGCCGAGAGTCTAAAAAATCACAAAACCCCGTAGTCGTAGTAACCTGAATAAGTATGTGATATCTACTAACCTTAGAACTCGAAGTAAATCGCCATTGCACGTTTGTTTGGAATGAACATGACAATTGACAACCCAACACAATCGGACAGTATTATTTGTAACGTCATAGGGGACAAGTGGTGTACGAATATACGGTATTATTACGTAATATTCACCCTCTAGAGGTTGGTTCGTTCGTATGCGAAGCTCAACATCGATTCAGACATCAAGTCGCGTTTTGCGAAGAAAGAGTTCTACGTAAATATTGTGATATGCGCTTGACGTTGAAAATATGCTAAACAAAGTGACGATGCCGTATTATTTGACATTTGACTACTTCGACGTAGTTTAATTTTGACGTAGAAGTACACAGAACGCCGGGAGCGACTGAAGGCACACGGTGAAAGGGTCAGTGCACTATATGAAAACATATTCCCATCATATTTTCGTAATCGATCGGCGTGAAGAGTTGCATGCTGACCGACAGTTACCGTACTTGAACCACCAGTGGCGTAGCATCCACCCCCGCAACCCCCGCGGTCTCGGGAGGGCCCACAGCGCAAAGGGGCCCAGGTGGTTAGAATTTAGAAATTTAAGCCGCAAACCAAAAGCTGCAGTGCAAAACAAGTAATGCACATCTTATATCGTTGATGTTAGTTCTGCTCAAATCATTTTGTTACGTAACAATGCCATGGAGTCGTCGATTTTCGGCGTCTTGTGGTTCGATCGCACCGGCAAAACCTCTCAGAATGAAAGAAACCCTCAGAATGAAGAAAAACCTCTCAGTGGCGCACAGAAACGCAGAAAAAGGGCAGAAGAGGAAGAACGAATGGAAAAAAATAAAGTAACGAAGATAAACGGCAAATTTTAGGTTACATTTGCCTTTTTAAATAGCGACATGTTATGCTTTTTGACGAAATAAAAAAAGGCGTTGTTTTAGCTTATGTCCGAGAGTTTTTAGGGTCATTTCCACGAAATATATTTCCACGAGTCTTGCTACGCCACTGTGAACCACCCTAAAAAATTGAGAAACCCCGCAAATATTTCACTCACAATTAACTGAAGGCTTTCGAACCTGCGAACTCAATCCGGAGAAGAGGAAATCCGATAAGATGGCTCAATCATTTGGCGAACCACGGCCTATCGCCTGGTTACCAGTTATTACCTCTGAGGTATACACCTCAATGGTTATAAACGGTCCGCAATCAGACATTTGGATTCAGAGTTTTCGTTGGAGTCGGAGCCTGAGTCATATTTTCGGCAGGGTTGAAATTCTAAATTTGTCGGAGTAGAAATCTCAGATTTACAATAATAATAAAAGATGCCATGTCTGCAACTTTTTTGACCAGCGGTCACATTAAACGTCCTTCGGTGGCGAGGAGTCATTTCGCTGCGAAACCGCTCATAGCAATTAGAGGTGCCATGGCGAGCGTACTCCTAACGCTTAGCTTACACACAGTGCCATACCTCCGAGCCGAATAAACTACGTTGGCGGGTTACCGGAACGCCCAGTCCGTTGTCAAAAGTGTTGATTTTTACATGTTCACCAAGCTGTATGTGCCCCAAGATGGCGCACAACCTAAACATAGTATGTGTACCAGGTTAGGGATCAGGTTGTGCACC